TTCTCTGGAACTCAGGTGAACTACATAGTCTTTAATTAGCCAGTAAATCTAATATATGATTGTTTCAGTCACAAGATGATAAGTGGCCATCTGATTTTGTTTTGCTTTGTGTGAAGTCTCTGATAGCTGGTGTGCATGGTACATTCATAATGGATCTCGCTTTGAAATTCGAAGAGCTACATTTCAACTGTCCTCTCTCTACATGCTGCTCCCACACTGGCTAGCATGGAGCTACACTTTGTAAGGAAGAAACGCTTTCAAATATTGAGCTGAAGAAGTAAGATTTATCCTTCATGTCTAAGACTAAAAGTTAAACTGTTTAAAATATAATTATCCATATATATACATATATATGTACACACATATACATATGTACTTATATAGAGATCTGTACCTGTGTGTGTGTGTGTGTGTGTGTGTATGTGTGTGTGTGTGTGTGTGTGTATACTTGATTTTCTGATCTGGTAACATAAAAGCAATACTATTCTTCCATCCCTTTGTTTTTTTTTACGTTAAATTCACAGGAATGAACATGCAAAAGGATGGCGTTGAAACTGCGCCATCTCGTGGTGAGGTGTTCAAACTGTTGAAGTAGAATTTTAAGAAAAGAAAGCAATGCCATACAGTTAGGGTAGGAGAGAAAGGATTGGTCTCTTTTTTAGTCTTCAGCAGGACCCTCGAGTTGTGTTTAAAAGGCATGGCAAGCTTCCTAGGCAGAGTACTGGAAATATTCATCTCTTGGTACCCAATAGCACTCCCAACATGGGCCACTAGTGTGTTGCAAGTTGGTCTAAAAGCTAACCTGTGAAGATAGCATTTGATTCTATGAAATGGGCAACAGCAAGGTTGAAAACCTTGGTAATAATACCCATGAGTATTATTAATACCCATGAGTATTAGTATATGAAAGCTAACCCATCATTCCCGGCATCCGATAGGAGAGTTCATGCAGGACTGCCAAATCTGAAAGGTCTTCATGAAGAGTTAAGTCTCAGTTAAGCTGCATCTGCTGCCAAAGGGTTATCCAAGGGACACAAAATATTCATTCACCTCACGCTCTATCAGGATGACAAGACACAGGCTGTAGGGAGCACTGGCTGCTCTCCGGTTGATCAGAGGGACTATGAAGACAGTCACCACCAAGCTAAACACCCAGCTCGGACCTCACATGGCCACCTCGAGCCTCTTCCAAATGTAGCGTGTGCTCTTACTCCAACACGTACCAATTAGGGAATCTTGTGGTCTAGATTTTATGCAGGTTCAATCCAGAGAGCAGGGTTAACCGAGTCTTACAAGAAGTTTTGGTAAGCTTTAAGCTAGCCCTTGGACTTCCTCTAAACAGGCAAATATATACACCATACACAGGCAATGTGTACCGTATCACTGCCACCGGGAAAGCACTGCCATCTAGAAGTTATCTGTCTTCTTGGTACATCAAAGTGGGTTGAGATCAAGATACGCAGCAAAATTCTAGATAAACTATCCAGTAAAAGGTGGAGACCATGTACAGAGTCTGAAGTACAAAAGAGACCATCCTGCCCACTCCATGCCGATCAATTTGGCAAATGTCAATCCTGGGAAAAGTTCTCGAGAGACTAATAAACTCAATCAAAGAGTAATGAACAAAAATAGAGAACCCAAAGAGCTTTGTGCCTATTTAAAAACACACAAGTAAATAAACACTTTCCCATGGTGGAAATTCCAGATCCAGACAGCTCTCCTGGTGATTTCTGCATAACAACGAAGGAGAATGAACATTATTGACCTGCACAAACATCCAGGAGACTGGAAAGGGGTTAGGGGGAGTACATCTCAGACACTGTAAGAAGTTACAGACCAACATTTCGTATGCACACAACTCTAGTACTTCTCAACACACATACATATGCACACACACACACTCTCACACACATATATAATCCAAGAATACAAAGAATAAATATCCTAAGTGGACTTAACCCAAGAGATGGGAGGTTGTTTTAACACTAGACCATCAACATAGGAACATCCTCGCAACTCATGGAAAAAAAAAAGACAGCTAACATTGTTATCTATGTTTTCCTTAATATCTGGGACAAGACAGAAACACCAAGATTTTTTTGCTGAACTGCAGGTTTTAGGTCTATAAGATGGACCACAAAAAAAAAAAAAGGAAAAAAATGAAAGAAAAAGAAGAGAAAAAAGGAAAAAGACACAGGCTTATAGATTGAATAAGAGAAATAAAGTTGTTTTGACTTGCTTAATGCAAATCTACTAGACATTCAGCTATAATTAACTGTATTTAATAAGGTTGCCAGTCAAAAGATAAATGTATTGGACTTCAGTAAGTAAGCAACAGACCACTCAAAATGAAATAAGATGTATTCACAATATAACTAATACGGAGTTTAGGGATGCGCTTACGGGTGTGTTATATATGTAAGTAGACACAATGAAAAAACAGTGTTGCTAAGAGACATGCTGAGTGATGTGTATCAGACAAACTGCCGTGCTCAGGACTGTTGAGACAGGAGTACTTGGCTTATTGATATGGACCCTGTACTCCCAATCAAAACTAATCTCCATCACAATAAATACGCCAATCAAAGAACACAACAGGAGTCAGTCTCGCAGCATGACTCCTTTGAAAGCTCAGGAAAGCTAATGGAGAAGGTTGAAGTATGGAGCAAAGAACTTCAGTCAGGGTTTTAAAATGGATCAATGAGCTTAAAAAAGATCAAAATAAAACGAGTGAAATGAAGAAGGCAAATCAAGACGTGTGTGTGTGTGTGTGTGTGTGTGTGTGTGTGTGTGTGTGTGTGTTCTGATTTAAGAAATGAACAAATTACAGTGACAAAACCCAGAAATCTAGGAGGAAAGCTCAACAAATCAGATGAAAACAAGAAAATCAATGGAAAGCCCCTCTAGTGTGAGGGCTAGTTTTGTCAACTACACCCAAACTAGAATCATCTGAGACAAGAGGAGGAACCCCAGTTGAGAAGATTCCTGTATAGGATGTAGGTGAGCTTGTAGGGCGTTTCCTTAGTGATTGATGGGGAAAGGCCCAGCCTGATGTGGGGACATGCCATCCTTGTGCTGGCAGCCATGTTCTGTAAGAAAGCAGGCAGAGAAACTTGTGGTGGTGAGGTGCCCCATGCTGTCAATCTCAGCACCCTGGGAGACAAAGACAGGTGGATCTCTTGAGTTCAAGGCTAGCCTGGTCTAAGTGTTCCAGAAAAGTCAAGGCCACAGAGAAATTGTCTCAAACCAAAACCAATGGGGGGGGGGGTGGAGCAGGGAGGGGGAGTCGGGGGTGCAGGTTGAGCAAGCCTGAAGAATGAGGAGCAAGCCAGCAAGCAACATCCCTTTATGGCCTCTGCTTTAGCTCCTGCCTCCAGATTCCTGTCCTGCCTGCTTTTGATGAACTAATATGAACTATGAATGAAATAACTCTTCTCAAATTGTTTTTGGTCATGGTGTTTCATCAACAGCAATAGTGACCCTAAGATATACCCCTTGGCCTTGCTCCAACCCAAGTGAGGCTAGCCAGGCGAAAGATTGGCAGGATCACATACCTAGAAATGACTACATTTAGATACTAAGGGCTGGGGGAAGCAATCTCAACTTCCAAAAAGCTTGGGATACAATTAAGAAACCAAATCTGATACCAGTGATGTTGAAGAAACTGAGGTACAGATTAATGACACAGAAAACCTATTCGATGCAACTATGGAAACCAAGTCCAGCAGTGGTGCACAATTTTAATTCCAGGAGAGGCAGGGAGATCTCTGAGTTCCAGGAGAGCCAGGACCATATAAAGAAACCCTCTCGACAAATTCCCCAAATCTAAGGAGAAAGCTGGATCAACTCCAGGATGCATTCGAAAATCAAAATTGTCAAAACACAAAATCAAAATCTCTGTTCATTTCCTACTAATAGTACAGAATGCTGACAGCTTCAAAAGGTCATATAATTTCCACAGGTAATCCCACTAGAGGAATCCATTTGTTCATCAGGAATCCCTAAAGCTAGGGAAGCAATGACAGATGGTGTGATGGTTTGTATATGCTCCGCCCAGGGAGTGGCACTATTAGAAGGTGTGTCACTAAGGGTTTGGGCTTTAATAGCCTCATCATAGTTGGCTGGGAGCCAGTATTCTGCTAGCAGCCTTCAGAAGATGTAGAACTCTCAGCTCCTCCTGCACCAATGCCTGCCTGGATGCTGCCATTGTTCCTGCCTTGATAATGGACTGAACCTCTGAAATCTGTAAGCCAGCCCCAGTTAAATGTTGTCCTTATGAGTTGCCTTGGTCATGATGTCTGTTTACAGCAGTTAAACCCTAAGACAGATGGATTTCAAATCCTGAAATGAGCCAAGTGGTGGAGTATGTCTCTCCCAGCAGGATCTGTTAACTGGAGGCCAACCTGGTCTCCAGACCAAGTTCCATGACAGCCAAGGCTACACGGAGAAACTGAAAACCTGAAATGAATAATCACTGAACTCACTATATGCAATTAAGTTATGATTAACACAGGGGCCCTTCATTGTTTTAAGGAGTTGCTGTATCAACTAAGATGCTTATCTACAAGTCTCTATGACTTAAAAGCTACTGGGAGAGAACTAAGGGAGGATATGACATGTCCTCTGGGACATGACCCACCCAATTCACTTCACAGCTTAATGCACTTATTTCCAGCGCTAACACATTCATTAAAACAAACGGCACACATCACTAAACCGCTAACAATTTTATCGTAACAAAATTATGTATATTATTTATTTTCTTTGGCACATAAAAACAGGTATTTACAGATATAAAAACATTGAAATAGACTTCAGAAATAAACAGGACAATGGATAATTAACACTGAAAGAAGCTCATATCAACAAATATTTAAATCGACAGACTCAAGTTTATAGAAGTATGATACAAATTTGGTAAAGCATATTTCAGATGCTAACACTGAAGCATGTTTTTAAGACTCCATTAAAAAAAAAAAAAAAAACAAAACACAGCCTTCCCTTGCCAAAAAATGCAATCAATTTTATCTTAGCATCTAACTACAAATAGATAAAAAGTAGCCCTTAAGATCTACAGCTGACCTAAAAGGTCACAATCTTTGTAAGTTCTTTTTACTCTTTTTAGTTCCAGGCAACGGATCTACTTTACAGGTGGCTTTCAGGATCTTGCCATTCAAACAGTCTTTGTTGTTATGGTAAGCACACAGACACTTTGTACAGTATTCGAATTTACAGCTTTCCCGTTTGCAGACTGCTCGCTCTAAATAGTGGTCATATTTTGCAGGGAAATTACAACGAACACAAGCTTTGAGGCTTTCGTTGTTTTTCAATGTCTTTGCCACCTAGAAGAAAAAAAAATCCACACAAATAATATTTTAGTATGCTGATTGAATTTGTTACTAAACCAGGAAGAGGAGCCAGGCCTCCAATAGACATTTTAGTATATATCATACCCAATGGGTTCAGAGTAATAGGAGCTCTTAAACTCCTGAAAGGTATACCTTATATCCAGGTGTTCTCCCTTTTGATGGTAGCAACTATAAAATGTATTGTCTGTCGGACAGTCTGAGATATTTGAGGGTTTTTTATTTTTTTTACTATATGTGACTTGCTGTCTTCAGAACAACAGAAGAGGGCATCAGATCCCATTACAGATGGTTGTGAGCCACCATGTGGTTGCTAGGAATTGAACTCAAGACCTCTAGAAGAGCAGTCAGAGCTCTTAGCTGCTTTGACATCTCTCCAGCCCCCAGTCTGAGATATTTCAAGGTCACTACTGGGAGTAAGCGAAAGGGGCAGAAGATGTGACCTGTAACCATCTTAATGCTTTTCACTACAAACAACATCAGTATGTGATTTCGTAGCAGACACTAGATGAAACCACCTAGCACCTAACTGTCCTGTGAAACCCTATTTCTTACTTTAACTATAAGTGTTCCTTGTTTCTAAAACTTCCCTGACAGTTACCTCCAGGAATTCGTTGTGCCTGCTGTAGGTAGAACCTTTTTGACCACTGGAGGACTTGACTTGAACATCTTTTTTGGGAGGTGCCCAGGTCGATGACTTTTGAACAGAAGTTAGCGCAGTTCTGCCCACGACATATCCTCTGGTTAAAGCATGTAGTGACAACTTACTGCTTTCCTGATTGAAAGTTTAACAAGAGATTTTAAATTCCTTTTTTGGTACTCATTGAATTTACAGTTGATAAAAGGATCCCACAGGAATGTAATACCCAGACCTCCACTGAACAGAGCTATGCACAGAAACACTCCAAAATGAACTCACTCAAAGTGTTGATCAGAGAAGCTTATTAGGAATTCAAGGTGCCTTTTAAACCAGCCAAAGCCAAGACTAAAGTCCTATCTATACATAGAACAAGTAGTCATTCTTCCCACTACCAATAGATGGCAGGAGTCAGTTAACATTTATTTTAGGTTTTTGGGAAGAGGTTATGTCCTTAAACTTCTCAAGCCTCCAGCATTCCAAGATTATAGACACTTGCCACTACCCTGCCTTAGGGGTGATCAACTGTCAGAAATACCACAATTACCAAGTACTTCAGAAAATTAAACTCCCTCTATACCAGCAGTTCTCAATCAGTTGCTTGAGACTGCCTTGTGGTGTGTCTCAGAGAAAGTAGAATCTTTTAAACGTAGGCTTATTAAGGAGTTCTATAGAAGCCGGGCGTTGGTGGCGCACGCCTTTAATCCCAGCACTTGGGAGGCAGAGGCAGGCGGATTTCTGAGTTCGAGGCCAGCCTGGTCTACAGAGTGAGTTCCAGGACAGCCAGGGCTATACAGAGAAACCCTGTCTCGAAAAACAAAAAAACAAAAAAAAAAAAAAAAAAAAAAAAAAAAAAAAAGGAGTTCTATAGAAGACTCACACATTGCCAGCCCCTGCACCCTTTCTTCCCAGGAAGCTGACATCCCTTATGAATTTAAGCAGTTTACAATCATTTGCCTCTACCTCTGAGAGTAATGGAAGCTTAAGAAAACAGCACTTTGAAAGACTTACAATGACTCTCTGCATAGCTTTGCTGTACAGCTGGAACGCTCCTTTATCATTTTCTAGTATCTTCTTCCAAATTCTGCTCACTTTAGACAAACTAGAAAACGAAGGAGACAAAGGTCTAAGTCCAACGGAGAACAGAAGCAGGTTACAAACCACACTGACCAACTATGCACTGAAACTAAGTAGATTAAGATTTAGGAAGGACAGAGCTAGTTATTAGTGTTTACCAGACTACCAAAAGGCCATAATTTTTTAAGGATTTTAAAAGCTCCCATAAAACTTGTTGTATCCATTTTTTCTCTTGAGTATCTATCAGGATAGGCAATTTCACACCAGTACAGTGCATACACTTCCACCTTAGTTGTTCACTCAATTTTGAAAAATCCAGCTAGGCAGTGGTGGTGCACGCCTTTAATCCCAGCACTTGGGAGGCAGAGACAGGCGGATTTCTGAGTTCGAGGCCAGCCTGGTCTACAGAGTTCCAGGACAGCCAGAGCTACAGAGAAACCGTGTCTCGAAAAACCAAAAAGAAAAAAAAAGAAGAAAAATCCATTACATCAACTGAAATGGATCAGCCAATAATAGAAACCAACATATACACCCATTTCATTTCACCCAGTCAATTATTCAGTATGGCAAGACTATGAAATTCAAACGGAAGCAGATTTCCATAGATTTTCTATTTCAAATGTCAAACATAAAAAAAAGTCAGCACTGTAAGGCCATATTGGTCTGCACAACCAGGTCCTTTGTTATCTACTACATGCAGTGTGCAACACACTCAAACTCACTTTATTAAGTCCATGCCGTTGAGTTTTGCCAAAATATTAGCTAACAGGTGTATAAATCCCCTCCGGGAGAGCTCAGCCAGGATATCTAGGTGTTCCAGGCCCATTTTCTTGCCAATTATATTTTGCAGTCTAAAGTTTCCGCTGGTGATAACTTCCTTCAGCATTTCTCGATCCACTTTAGAGTTTCTCTTGCCATTCTTTTTTAATGTTGAGCAAACCACTCTTTCAAAATGCAGGACAGGCAGCAGATTTTTGTTGGGATGCTGGTGTGGGCTCTGCGCCCCAGCCTGAGAACTGTTTCTGAAGTTCTCCAGGAAAAGGATGCTATCCTCAGGGTCACTTTGTATGAATGATGATGAGTAGCCACTGTCCTCATACAGTCTACTGGCCTCTAGCTCTTCTGTTTCGTTTGTACTATCTAGTATGTTCTGCACACGCCGATTTTCCTTGTTATCATGCCCCACAATTGGGGACTCAACAAAAGACAACCTTTCATGGTTTCTAACACAATCCTCATAGGAAGGTTCCAAACACACAGAACTGTAGGAACCTTCCTCCCCACTATCCTCAGACTTCATCACTTTAAGCTCAGAAAGATCAGGTTTGCAATTAAAACACTTCATTTTAACAGAAAGGACAGGGCTTTCTTCTTTACAACCTACGAAAAAGAACACAAAAAAACAGAATAAAAAAAATCACTTTTGTGCTAACTTGTTCCCCAACCTCTTGCTGGGGACTAAACCTCAGTCTTTACAGTGAATATCATAGCCCTTATATACCAGCACCAGAAAAGGATACCTCCAATTACCATGCATGTGCCAATACCGACTAGTTCTTTCTAACCTGTTCCAGGATGCCACATCCCATCTAGCTATCATTTGAACTAATGAACTAAGTCTCCTCTCCCCCATTTTCTCCTTCTGTGTGGGCATGCCAAGAGTCATGCTGCCCAAGTGGTCAGAGGACAGCAGCCACAAAGTTGGTTTTCTTCTATCTTTATGTGACTAGGCACAGGTGGCAAGCACATTCACCTCCAGCCCTGGCTGTCTGTCACTCTCATGACTGCCCTTAGTCAGTGCCTCTGAACGGCATTTCCTCATTTCTTTGAGACAGAGAGACTTGCAGGAGCAAAACCATAGAAGAGAGCTCTCCCCAAAACCTGGTGCAGGGAAACGCTCTTCTCCTGCATTTACAGTGCTTACCTTTGGCTCAAACTGCTCTGATGTGTGCTTTCAAGAGCTGTTCCAGTCGGCCTGGGACTGCGTTTCACAGGCTACCATCATTTTGTTTTTTAAGCACTTTTTAAAACTTCCCCAGACTACAGGACTCGCTTATTTGCTTTCTAAATTAGAGAAAAGTATCAGAAGATAAAAATCTGGATTATATATATATATTTAATAGCTAAATCCATCTTAGATCAAGAGACTTTCAAAGATCAAGCTAAGGACTCCTAAACAATAAGAAATATTTTGTATTCTGTTCATGTTGTTGAGCAGACATAAAGGCAGATTAACAAATTCCATAGCCCCCTACCCAATCAAACAAATGTGGAGGACATGTCTAGCCTTGCCACTTCATTCACCTGATATCCACTTAATGACGAAAATGTGGCCTTGGTTTTCCCATCCATAAAATGAAGAAAACTAAACTGTGTTAAATGAATGATCTAGTCAAAAGCATCTGTTTCTTATCTAGTTAGTCACAGTAAGGCAAACTTGCTGGCATTTTTTACATTGCAATTCAAGACAAATTCCACACAAGTACAAAATTAGGAGGCGAAACTTCAAATGAAAAAAATCTTTGCTGAGTTTTCTGATCAGCTTATTCTATTAGGTTTGGAGTGGCTGTCCTTAAAATGAACTTACGGATAAAACAAAAAGCATCTCATGTTTTAGAACTCGAATTAGCACCCCTCAGCCAATCACAAGATGGGGGAAAGGTTGATAATTATAAAATGCACCAAGTCTGACCTTTCATTTAAGTTAAAAACACAGGCTTTACACTCTGTTTAAATACTGTGATTAAAGCTGGGGCTAAAGTCTTACCTCTTCCTTATGGTAACTACGTTTCAGTCTCAGTACTCAGCCATGTGGCCAAGGTCAAACACCATCCCTTCTTTGTGGAAGGGTGAGGAAAAGTAACTGAAAGTTTAAGTCAAGAGAAAACCTTTAAGCCTAATTTTTAAAAATATATTTAATTGTACTAATTATTTTTTAAAGTTTCTTCAAGGCTGTAAGCCAAGTGGGGGAGGGGATTTGGGGGAGTATTTCCTGTGAAGGAACATCGAGCAAAAAGAATACCATCCTAAAACCATTAAATTTCTTATTTTTAAAGGGAGACTGCCGTCTCCCTTTAACACATTCTGCTAAGGGTGAAGTTTCTTCCCTCAGGACTTAATTCCTTTTCTAATGAAGGAAAGTTATCGAAGTTATATATAAAATTGCTTTTTCCTTCAGTTTCAAAATTTTCTAGGGTAAAACCGATGCATCTTTTATTGAGATTTCAAGAAAGATTAAAAAACTTAAAAATTAAGCAACTGATTTTCTCTGCTCTCACCCAAGCTTTGGAACAAGTGACCATTAATTCATCAAAACTGAGGAAAATTAAACCCCTTAGATCCTTTCATCAGCTAAACACTACAGGCAGATCCATGGTTTTGGAGGAAAAAAAGGCGCTTTTTAAACCCCTCCCCTGCTCACACCAGGCCTTGAGACTTAGCGAGAAGAGGCAAAAAAGGAGAGAAAATAAATCTTTTTCCATTTGGCACGGTGGGCAGGAGGGGGTGAGGGGTCCTCTACATTTGGCGGGAGCTGGGAAGGAGCCCCTAGAAATGCTGAGGGGGTCTGTGGTGGGAGGTGCCCTGAGGGCGCGGTGCACGAGGGAAGGCGGGAGATAAGCGCGGAGCTCAATCTCCCGCGCTCTCCAGCCAAGACTCTGAGGGCAAAAAGTTAAAGACTTGAGTTTGGATGTGAGTTAGCTGAAAGCTGTGAAATGCGGGGTGTAGGGGCCAGAGATGGGGCCATCTGGCCAGCCTGGAGTCCCGCAGTCCTGTCACAGCTCGGTCAGGAATGGGGGATGGGAGGGGGCATTTGGCGCCCAGGCAGGAGGGTGGGATGTAATCCGGTGCGCAGAAGCCACCACCTTGCACGTCCCCGGTGTGGGATCTCTGGGTGGGATGGTAGGACCTCGTGCAAGGACGACCACATCTGCCCCATTCTGCACCAGCCACCCTTGTCCGGCGCTCACAGTCTCTTTTCTCCCCGTCCCGGGTCTGGGAGGTCGCCCGAGGCCCGGAACCCCATGATCTGCATGCACCCCGTCTCTCTGAGGCTGCGGCCACAGAGTGAGGATTTCCCCGATGCCCGCCTCACACTCACCATCCGCGGTCGTCCGCGCGCCAAGACGGCAGGGACAGGGGGATGGCCGGGGTAGATCGCTGCAGGCGCGCCGGCTCATGCCGGAAAACTCGGGCCCCGACGCAGGTGAGGTGGCCAGTGGCTGCGCCGAGTCTTAGCTCTTAAAAGGCGCCAGCTGGTACTTTTAAAATCTTTGAATTTGGTGCCCAAATCAGAACAGACCAATGGGGCGCGGCGTTTGCACGCGCGTGCCAATAGGCAGGCGGCATGAGAGGACGCCCTCGCTTGCCCAATAGGAAGGCGCGGGGGCGGAGCCAGCCCTGGAGCCAAGGCTCCTCCCACACGTCCAGATCCTCGCCTCCCCAAAGATGCTGAGGGAGCTGGCAAGAATCCCCCATGTAGGCGTGGCCTGCGAGGCGGCGGGGCGCCGGCTATACCCGCCATGCTGCCCTGCCCCCCTCCCCCGTTATCCCGCGAACCGGCCTCCCGGGAGTCCTCATGTCCTGCGGACAGCTCCGACTTCTGCCTGTAGGTCTGTGGTGTACACAGACGGGGTCCCGGTCTTCCTCCATCGTCTGTTACTTGCGAGTTTGCTGAGCTGCAAACCCGCCACCCTAAGGTCTACACCTTCCGGAAAACAGGCCCTTCCCCTGGCTCCGGACCCGCCTCTCTAGGATTTAGGCGCGCTCTACTCTCCCTCCTAAATTGGCTCCGCCCCCTGCCTGGAGCTCCTGCGCTTGCGTAGTGCGCAAGGTCGGCTGTCGTGTTGGCGGGTTGGCGCTTGCGCGCTAGGGGCCTGGCGGTTCCCTCCGGGCGGGGTGGGCTAGCGGGGCGGGACAGGTGACCGGAGAACCGCCCTTGCCCCCGGGACGGCGCGCTGCGGGACCTCGGCGTCCCTTAGCTTCGTGCCTCCCGGAGGCTGAGGGCGCGGCCTAATCCCTAAACAAGACCACTGCATTCTTTTGGGTTTTCAAACACCACGAATTCATACAAGTGTTAATTTGTATTTTGTTTAATGTGTTCTTAATCTTCTTTGGCTTAGGCGCAAAAAACAGCCGACCTGTTCCCCCTAATAAGTCCTAAATAAGTCAGACTCCCCCCATGGGGTGTAGGGCCTTGGCTACGTGGATATTTTTGTAGCAAAAGCGAGAGTGAAAGTATATTAATTATTAAGTCTTCTGGTGAGCTGTAGTGCACCACTAATGATACTGAGTCTTGCGCACCTTGAATTTTTGCCTAAGTGGAGACAATACACCGGACTCCTATTCAGAATACCGCTCAGTAAAGCTACAGGATGTGCCAAACCCCTCCACTTGCCATTTCCCTCTTGCTTTTCTGCAAGAGTATGTGACTTTCTATTAGTGTTTCATGCAGCTCCTGTGTAAGGCGGGGCTAAGATTGGACTGAGTCATACAAATGCTGGGTGGATCCAGTTTTTATCTAAATTCTTTTTGTTTAATCCGTAGTTTTCTGACCTTTTCAAGTTTGAAAGTGTTGCTTAGTGACTTGGATGGTGCTGCTTACCAAAATCTTCACAGCTTTTTCTGGTTTGTACCAGAGAACTAAGCCTCTAAGTAAAAATGGCTGAAAAGACATGAGCCCTGTCTTTCAGGACGTTTATATATTAATGAGAAGGAATTTGGCAATCAAATTTTTCAGTAAATGAAAGATACTAAACCGCGTGTTAAAAGAACTGTTAATAGAACTTAGGGAGAGACTCTTGAATGATCAGTTAAGTTGGAGACTTTGAACTATTAGCTGAACTATATTGACCTAGTAAAGAACTACATTTAAAAAGTGCCTAGAGCTCCTCACACAACAGGGGGTCCTCACAGAAGCTAGATCATGTGGTATTTGTAGATTGTATGACTTTTGGCTAGAGAACTTGCTGAATGGATACTAAAATGCTGCGTGGTCAGGCGTGGTGGCAGGTACACGCACACCAAGGAGCCTGAAAACCTAGTTTCCAGACAGAGAGGGCTACACAGAGAAACCCTGTCTCAAAAAACGAAAATAAGTAAACAACTTTAAATACTGTACCTGGGAGATCTTTGTGCATGCGAAATATACTCCCTGATGTGAAATAACACTAGATGCAGACCACTGGTGTATCGTGTGTACAATAGTGGATTTGGGCTTTAGAGGCTGTGGAAACCTGTCAGTGCTGAGAAGTGAGAAGAAAAAGCTTACTATTGCCGGGCGGTGGTGGCACAAGCCTTTAATCCCAGCACTTGGGAGGCAGAGACAGGTGGATTTCTGAGTTTGAGGCCAGCCTGGTCTACAGAGTGAGCTCCAGGACAGCCAGGACTACACAGAGAAACCCTGTCTCGAAAAACCAAAAACCAAAAAAAAAAAAGCTTACTATTAGCTTGACATTCTTAAATAATCTTAGCAGTATTTTTTCACTTTATACGGATTGTGCTTAGAAGTCTAAGATCTCACTGTGGTCTCAGAGCTAGTGAAGAGAGCGCACAAACTTTTGACTCCTCCTGGGGTAGTGGCAGGTATTCTTGAGGGCAAAATGAACCAAGTTCCTTTCAGCAAGACTTAAGGAGTCCAGGAGTTCAAAAGCCCAAGCACTTCCTTCTGTTATACCAGGTAGTAACATTTGCTGGAATCTTAATTGTTGATAGTACACATTCCTGTTTCTACTCTGCTTGACCTTGGAGCCTCCTTATCATCTTGTATTTGCATAGACAGAGAGTTGGATGTTTGAGATGGGAAGACAAGCTTAGTAAACAGCTGAGCACCTGGAATGTAACCTTTGGTCCTTCCCTATAGCCTGAAAGTACTTTTCAGCACTTTTTCCCTTCCTGAAGAAAATGGCTTATTGGAAAACCTCACTTTTTTTTTTGTTTTGTTTTGTTTTTTGTTTGTTTGTTTGTTTGTTTTTGGTTTTTTCAAGACAGGGTTTCTCTGTGTAGCCCTGGCTGTCCTGGAACTAACTCACTCTGTAGACCAGGCTGGCCTCAAACTCTCGAACTCAGAAATCTGCCTGCCTCTGCCTCCCAAGTGCTGGGATTAAAGGCGTGTGCCACCACCCCCGGCTCACATTTCTATAAGAGACAAGCATGTTTTCTTACATGCTGCAAAAATTTGTCAGTTTTCCAGGTTAATTAATCATTGACTTTAAATGTTATTTGATCTTTATTATGATGGAACAGTATTAACTGATGCGCCTAGCCGGCTCGTGGGCACTTGTGAATCTCTCCCTCCATGAGATAGAGAGGGCCATGCCGCCATTCACTAGATGCCAAGCTTTTCATGCCCATTCATGTCAAGTTTTTGTTTTCCTCCTCT